GCGTGTTCTGTAGTGTTTTATGTCAATTGCTGACGTCATTAGAATTTTCCATTTTAGAAAAACAATGCGCTATATCTCTTTATTTTGTCTGGTGACCTATCTTCAAATTTTGCATGCTGTATTGCACCGCTAAAAACTTTCATTTTACAAAAAAGAAATAAATTCTGTAATGCCAAAAAAATTTTATCGAAGAAAACGACATTTTTGCATTTTCCAAAAAAATGGCATTACAGAATTTTTTTATATTTTGCTAATTGTTAGCTTTTCGTCCAAGTAAAATAATGCAAGAAAAAAAATTGGGGGTCACCATGCTTCTTTTCCAACAAAACGAGACGATAGGCCATTTTGGAGTGAATTTCGTACGCGTATGTCGTCATAGCAACGAACTATCTGTTACTAAAAATAATAAAATTTGAAAGTAGAGATATCAAAATATATAAAAAACACAATATCTGCTGAATAAATCATAAAAATGCGTAGTTTGAACATGTCAAAGTGTTGAACACCTGACTTTTTGAAAACTGTATCGAGCCACCTTAATACAGTTCAGAGACTGTTCATTTTTTCTTTGCATCTTTTATGCAGCATCACAAGGTCAATTTTTTTTTCTCCATAAATACCTAAAATATTAACTAAATCAGAGATAAACCATCAGAGATAAACCATCTATTATATGCATATGCACAGCTTGGACTGCCGTAGTAGACGGGTGGTTGCCAGTACAAAGGTGGAGTAGGAATCTGGTGAATCGGTTGTGGAAAGGGTAGGTAATTATTGGGAAAAGGTTGAGGGTAAAATGATTGGGAAAAGGTTGAGGGTAAAAATGATTGGGAGAAGGTTGAGGGTAAAACGTAGGCATGCTAGGATATGGAGGAATAGGGGAACAAAACCTCTCTTGTGGAGGGAACAATCTTTCGTTTACCGTCTGTACACTTGACAAGTAAGGCGGACATTCTGTCGGATTACCCATTGCATCGTAATTTAGCATGTTAGGTGGCCGTCGCGTCCCAACTGACCGTCGAAGCACGGCTTCCCCTGTTGGGTCTCCGGTCTCAGCAGTGTCTGTACGAGTTGCTGGCTCTTTTATTGGTTCATCGGTATCTTGACCGTGATTATCATCGAATTGTTCCTGTAACCCAGCATCCAGTACTTCACATGTCTCCGTAGTTGTCGCAAGTGGTTCGGCCAAATTTTCTGTTGTTGTTGTAGGCTGGTCAGCATGCACTTCATAAGGAAAGAGTAAATCCGCAAAATTCTTCATCATCACTGTCACGTTCATATTCGTCATATTCCGCACCTTCCCCACTATTTTGAGCCTTCCGTTCATTTCTTAAACGTTGAGGTTTAACCGCTGGTGTAAGATCCATTGAATTATCTGGGGACAAGAAGTCACAAGGAAGGAGGAGATTTCTATGAAGAGTTCTTTTTTTGTTCGTGGCTAGGCCCTCAGGTTTAACCACGAATACTGGCATTTCTCCTTTCCTTTCCACCACCACGTGAATCTGATCTTCCCAGTGGGACCGGAGTTTCCCAGGCCCACCACGTTCAGAGAGGTTTCGTACCACAACGAATCTTCTTGTCGTAATGCTTCTTCCGTATTTCTGCAGGTTTTCTGCTGTTTGCCATCGCCTTCGCATAAGCTTTTTCATTGTTCCCTTCCATCGTTTCGCATACTCTGTGTGGTTTCCAGTGGTCGTGGTAGGTGATAGTCCGAAGAGCAGATCTATTGGTAACCGTGGAGGGCGGCCGTATAGTAAAAAGAATGGCGAGAACCCGGTAGCATTGTTCACTGTGCAATTATATGCATAAACGACCTTATTTATCGACATATGCCATTTGCTTTTCTGATTTTCTGGTGAAATCCTTAACATTGCCAGTGACGTTCGATTGAATCGTTCAGCCTTGCCGTTGGCCTGATGATGGTATAAGTTGTTGTTCGACGTCGACGAATTCCAGTGACCTTTTCTAACTGATAGAATAGATTGTTTTTAAATTCTTGACCTTGATCATGTTGTATATGAGCAGGGAAACCAAACCGAAGGATGAAGTCATTATACAGTTTCTCTGCTGCGGTTGTACTCGATTTAATTCTAGTCGGATATGCTTGTGCAAAGCGAGTGAAATGGTCGACGATAACCAATATGTATTCATATCCGCCAGAACTTTTCTCGAGATGCATGTAATCGATTGATATCAATTCGAACGGGGAACACGTTGTTATACTACATAGTGGTGCACATGTTGGTCGAGCGGGTCTACGTTGTTTGAGACAACCGCAAACATTAGTAACAAAATGTGTTATTTCGCTTTCCATATTAGGCCATAGAATCTTTCTCTCGCTAATTGTACCGCTCTCTCCATTCCTAAATATCCCATATCCTGGTGCAGTTCTTGTAAACCGTAGGGAGAAATTTTCTTGGCAAAACGAGTTGTGTGTATGGACCGCTTTCGCGACGTAGTAATCCGTCCTTTCCAATCTTAAGTTTATGCCATTGCCGCAACAGGGTCTTGGTATTGGGTAGTTCGCATCCTGAATGGATGGGCGGCGCCCCTCGAGCTTGAATGATCGTACTTTACCGATCGACAGATCTTCTTTTTGTGCCTTGAGAATTACATCATTACCGATGCTCAATCTACAACCATCGTTAGTTAGAAAATCGCTATCAATATCCGGGAGATCTTCGTCGAGTGTTAGAGCTGTAAACCATGTAGCGTTTCCATATTGCTGTGCGGTAATTCCCGTGATTACAGCCTTGATGTTTTCACTAGGTACCTCCTCCGTGCACATTTCTCGGTAATTTGCCAAGTCTACAGGCATCCTTGACAAAGCATCTGTACTTTGGTTATTTAATAATAATAATAATAATAATTTATTTTCACACAAATTGTTACACTATATTGGTAAAGCCGAAGCCATAGGCTTATTTGGCAAAACTATTTAAGAGTATAGCTCGTGGTCAGTACAGAGAATTAAGTATGAATTATTCCAACTGAGTATATAATAAAAAAAGAAAAAACCCAACCGGAAAAAGCATTTAAATTAGTATAGATAATTCATGCTTTATGGAAAGCAGTATATGCAGCATATATACAGCCAAATTTCAGTCCTTTTTATCCCAGAGCCATTCCACATGCACATGTCAACCATTCTGAGAAGTTAAGTAGTAGTTCTTTAGAATACGTCTAAAATTTTGAGTTGTCAATGATTGCCGAATTAAAAGAGGGATAGAATTCCAATTTTTCGGGCCTTGCGCACGAATGGAAAAAGAATATTTATGGGAAATGATATGCAAATCCTGTCTATGCCTTGTAAAATGATCATGGATGTTATAATTGAACTCAAATAAGCAAGAAATGGGTGAAGGAAGGAGATTGTTAACGTGTCTAAAAATAAAACACGAAAGTTGAAATTCATAAATCTGAAAGACAGTGAGGATATTTAATTCCTTAAAGAGTGGTTTGGAAGGAGTGAGAGGGGGAGAATGTGTAATAATTCTCATGATTTTTTTTTGACATCGAAGTAAAAGATGAAGATGTGTTGTGTAAGATGATCCCCAGATAATAGTGCAGTACTGTAAATAAGGCAAGATTAAAGAATTGTGTAGTACTGAGAGTGTTTATCTATCAAGAGAATGACGAGATTTTGCAATTATTCCAATGTTTTTGGAAATTTTTGTAGTGATTAATTGTATATGTGGGATGCAGGACAAATTTTCCTGGATAGTAATTCCCAAAAATATGGTTTGGCTAACCCTTTCTATTAGATGTCCATTGATTTTTACCTCATCCTGTGGGTCGATGTTTTTTTTCCTGCTGGGATGAAAGAGTATAAACTTGGTTTTATCTGGATGCAACGTAAGTTTATTTGCTCTAAGCCAAGAAGCAACTTTAACAAGTTCATGGTTGAGTGTGTTAATGAGGGACGTTATGTTATTGTCACTATAAAATATATTTGTGTCATCTGCGAATAGTATAAAAGATAAGCAGTTGGATGTATTAAATATATCATTTATAAACACAAGAAAAAGTAATGGTCCAAGAACCGAACCTTGGGGAACTCCGCATTTAATAATTTTAGGTGAAGATTGAACATTGTTAATTTCAACATATTGAGATCTTTGACTAAGGTAACTTTTAATCCATGAAAGAACATTACCACGAAAACCATAAAAAGACATTTTGTCAATTAGGATGTCATGGTTGACAGTATCAAAAGCCTTTTTAAGATCTAGAAACACGCCAACAGTTAGCTTATTATTTTCAAAACCATGATATATTCCGTTTACCAGTTCGAGTATAGCCATGAACGTAGAATGATTTTTTCTAAAGCCATATTGGTGGTGGTTTATAATTTGAAACTTATATAGGAAATCCATGAATCTCTTATACATCACCTTTTCAAGTATTTTTGAGAAACAAGGAAGAATAGAAATCGGTCTAAAGTTGGAAGAATTATGACAATCATTGCTTTTGTAAATAGGCAAAACCTTAGCAATTTTGAGCTGGTTGGGTACACTACCATTGGCCATTGAAGAGTTGAATATGTAACACAATGGTACTGCAAGTATGTGAATACTCGTTTTAATAATAGGCGTTCTAATACCGTCTACCCCTTCACTGTAACTATTTTTCAACGAATTAGTGATAGTTATAATTTCAGAAGGGGAAGTTGGGGTGAGGAATATTGACTCATTAAACGAGCCCAACAAATAATCCCTATCATTATTGTCTGATATGTCTGTAAAATTATTTGAAAGAGAGGTCCCAACATTTATAAAGAAATCGTTAAATTTATTAGCAATTGAATGTGGATTACTGTAAGTTCCACTACCATTTTTCATAGTTGAAGGTATCCTATCCTTTTGTTTACTACCAATAACAGATCTAATAATAGACCATGTTGCTCGTAAATCTGATTTATGGTTCAAAAGTTTATTGTGATAATAACTTTTCCTGGCGAGTTTGACAAGGTAATTGTACTTATTACGATAATTTGTATAAGTTATCTTATTAGAAATGTCAGGATTTTGAAGGTATTTTTTATATAGGCGATCTTTTTTCATGGAGGAATTATATAAGCCATTAGTAAACCAAGGCTTAGTTTTTTTTCTAGTTTATGTGGTAAAGGTTTTCACTGGGAAACAATCATTATAAATAGGTTGAAGTATATTCATAAATGATGTATATAGTTGGTTAGTAGTCATTGTATCATTATTAATAACATCCCAGTTAACATTTTGCAGTTTACGTTGAAATTGTTCAAGACTGTGAGATGTCACTTGTCTTGTCGTGTATGTTTTTGGCTCAGGTTTAGGTATTATATTTAGATCACTAACTAGGAATATGGGTAAATGATCTGAAAGGTCAGTATAAATAATGCCACTTATCATATCATGATCTAAGTTATTAGTGATAATGTTATCAATCAAAGTGGATGAGTGATAAGTTATTCTAGTAGGTTTAGATATGGTAGGGTAACAACTATTAAGGAGAAGAATGTCAACAAAATCATTAGTGGGCTTGTGAGAGTTGGAATTAAGTAAATTAACATTAAAGTCACCCATTATGTAACATAATTTATTTTCAAAACTTATTTTATTGAAAATCTGGTTGATATCTTCATTGAATTGGTTAATATCAGCATCAGGTGGTTTATATATACATCCTACTATGATGTTTTTGCTATGAGGTTG